CTTTTTACCCCAACCCCCGGGCCCCCCCCCCCCCAACAAAAAAAAAAAACAAAACAAAAAAGAAATGTTTAGTAATTACAAATCAAAATTTTGTCTTCAGTTTAACATCTTATTTTGCATAATTTAATGTTTCGTATTAATAGATGTTAGAAAACAATTATGTTAAAATTTGCATGGGGCAAAGAAGGAAACAAAACAAAAAAAAACACAAAAAAAACCATTGTGATTTATTGTTTTAAATTGATGTATTTTTTTTACAGCTCACGCTAAAGATGCAATACATATCGCAATTCTCGGGGACGGAAATGAAGCTGTTGAAAGCTCTGCAGGGACGAAACGACTCTTGGTTCATTGTTGGAGTAGGGAGTCATTACTTCTTTAACTTTGAGCAAGTCCGTAACAATGTGAGTGGGGATTAAATTCTGGAGAGATGTGGCATTGAGAGCAAAAGTGTAAATTAAAGACGTCTTTGGCATTGAGAGCAAAAGTGTAAATTAAAGAATTCTTTGGCATTGAGAGCAAAATTGTAAATTAAAGACGTCTTTGGCATTGAGAGCAAAGGTGTAAATTAAAGAAGTCTTTGGCATTGAGAGCAAAAGTGTAAATTAAAGAAGTCTTTGGCATTGAGAGCAAATGTGTAAATTAAAGAATTCTTTGGCATTGAGAGCAAAATGTTAAATTAAAGATGTCTTTGGCGTTGAGAGCAAAAGTGTAAATTAAAGAAGTCTTTGGCATTGAGAGCAAATGTGTAAATTAAAGAATTCTTTGGCATTGAGAGCAAAATTTTAAATTAAAGAAGTCTTTGGCATTGAGAGCAAAAGTGTAAAGCCAATACTTTTTTAACATTGAGAGTAAAATTGTAAATTCTAGAATTCTTTGGGATTGAGAGTAAAGTTTAAATTCCAGAAGTCTTTAAATGAGAACATAATTTTATCAAAGGCGCAATGGAGCATGAATTGGATTTTGATCTTTCGACAACAACAACAACAAAAACAAAAAATGAAATTTGATTTTTGAAGGTAAATTCATTTTTTTGTTGAATTGTTATGTCATTTGTTTCACCTTCCAAAACATTTGTGAACTTTTTAGAGTTCCAAAACATTTTTCAACTTCTCCATCCAATGTCCGAACATTCTACATTAAAACAAAATACAGTCAGCTGTTGGCTGATGTCAGGAACGCCTAGCGTCGCATGTACGTGTTTTAGAGGAAAGTACAGGTTTCATTGATTTTCTTTTCAAAAAGCTTTCAGTAATTTAGTTCGTTCCCATATTGTAATGTCATTTTGCTGTATATTCAACCATTTTTTTTTTGTTGATCTAAGCCTGTGGCACTTTTAAGATTGCAAAGTTCCAAGCAAGACGCAAATATCTGAGATTACCAAAATAAAAAAAAAATGGTGTAAACTTAGTTCCCAGTTAATGCACTTCCGGTGTAATTAGTAACCAACAGTGACAGTCTATTTCTATTCAACATCTCTAATTTATATTAAGCCTTCAAAATTTACAGAAATCCAAATGACCCCAATGTTTGATTCAGATATAATTTTCATTTTTAATTTTTAAAAAAAGGGTTTACTTTTTTTTTTTTTTTTTTTTATAAAATCCGTTTTCTTTGAACCGAAATGCCCTATTTTCCCCAATAAAAACATCATAAATTTTTTGGGTCTCTTTTTTNATTAAAACACAAATACTCTTAGACAGTGACACATGTACTTAAAATGCATACATCTGGGAAGGATCTTAAAGATAGTTTCATTTTTTAAACTTAATTATCAAAGATTATTATAATGCGTTGGCAATTAATTTATCTCAAGGGAAACAACTTGATCAATCTAGTATGTTTATTTAAAACTCTGACATTAAGAAAAAAATTATAATAAAATTAAAAATATTTATTAACATGTGATTGTTAGGAATGTCGTAGAAATTAAATAAGACAAACCCAGCATGAATTTTTTTTATCTAAAAAAAAAAAAAAAAAATTGATTTCATGTATTGTGTACTCAACATTGTTGTTAACAAGCGTATTGGATCTTTTCATTAAAAATCATCTAACCCTTTATGGATCAATTTTTTAAAGTAATATTTAGAAAATTAAGGACATATTTGCTATCGCGAATTTTCGAAAATATGACTGCTTTGTTGTTCATGGGCGTGAAAACGTATTGAGTAGGCCGTCATCTCATATAGATAATACACATTTCTCTAATGGCTTTAAAAGTACAGCGATCAAATGAGCGCCGCAGGGGCTGTGCCAGAGAAAGATCCACGGTGGCTCCCAAGTCGGTCGACATTTTTTCCTCTCCCAGTGGCGTACCTAGGGGTTGAAAAAAAAAGGGGAAAGGGAGACCACCCCAGTCATCTCTAGGGGGTTAGCTTATTGGTCTGACATTACTTAGATGAATTGTGTGTTAGACGGGTAGACTTTTTTTTACAGTTTGCCTCGGGCATCATTAAGTCAAGGTACAACACCCCCCCACCCCCCCCACGCTTCCACCACCCCCCCCCCCCCCCAGAAAAAATATGAATATCCTTCACTGTTAGTTCGAGTCAAAATTTACCTTTTTGTGACGTATCACAACGGAGAAAAAAAAGATAATTAATTTTTATATCACATTTGTGTGTCTCATTCACTGACACAATTAGAAGTTATTGTACTTTTTTTTTAAAAATCTACTCATCCTTTATTTATTTCTTTTTTACAGATCCTCACCCCGTTGTTGAAGGAGACGTCGCCGTGGCCCAGGGTGCTATGGATGGCAGCACAGGCCCCGGGGACACTGAAAACTCCACTGGAAAAAAGGCAGCAGACACCGGCCTTGCTTTCGTTCAATGAGAAGGTCAAGGTCACATTGGCAGGAAGCGACGTCGCCATTTTGAACTATTTCCAACTGACCAACGGAACTGTCAGTTATGACGGCACTCACTACGGAAAGGGAGTTAATGACGCCAAACTTCAAGTTCTACTGAATTATTTGCAAGGGCAGATCATTAAATGATAATTTCGAATTTTTTTTAAAAATTAAAAAAAACTGGTTGAAATGGAATTTGTTGCCCAAAATCTTAAAAGAATCAAATTGAAAAAAAAAAAATCAACAACCGCAAAAAAAATAAATAAATAAAAATAAATAAACAGACAAACAAGCAAAGAACAAGATTGATAGACAGACTAAGGCGGGACCCCCAGAGTGCGAACCGTCTTAGCCTTGGTGAACAGGGTGATGTGTCTGCGTTCCACGTCTGGTAGAACGCCCTGTGCAGTTTTGTGGGTTTTTTTATTTTTTATTTTTAGAATATGAAATTGGATTAGTTCATCTAATCCTATTCCTGAGAACCTCTTCAGTATTTCAATATACGAATAGCGTAAGAGTGTTGTTAAAGTATTTATTTAGTTATTTAAAAAAAATAATTGAATCGTAAGTATTGTGTGTAAAAAGTGTGACACGTTATTTTGCCGTTAAAACATGAATCTATTCACTGAAGTATTGAAAACCAATTTTGTGTTTCTTATTACTTTGTGTGTGTGTGTGCGTGTGTGTGCGTGTGTGTGCGTGTGTGTGTGTGTGTGTGTGTGTGATGATCAGTATTTGGAGGTTTGTTTCGTTTCTTGTTGTTGACAGAATCACAAGATCAAGCCAACTCCGTTACCGTGTCTTTAACATCGGTATAAAAGGAGATATTGGTTGGTGTTACTCTTGCTACTATCGCCTTCTATTGCAAAGTCTCAAAATGTAAAATAAAAATCCAATTTCGGCGACTGTAACTGAATCCTTATTGATACGACAATCATCAACGTCAGCGCCCTTTGTATTGTTATATGTAGGATATAGTAAATCAGACTTTTGTTATTTTTCGAAAGAAGCATCTTATATCTATGCATAGATGTTTACGTTTCTTACATCATTGTGTTTTGAGAATATTTTTCTTTCCACAGAATGAAAGCCCACCCCCCAACATTTTTTTCACGCCCCTGAACTACAAAGAAAATGCGTTTTCTTTAAAAAAAAACAACAACATTTCTTAACTTTAAAATGTATGTACCGTTTTAAATATCTGTAACATTAAAGGGTATTGATATATGGGTATCTTCATTAAGAATTAACCCAAACTCTTCCTCGCGCCTGAACTGCATAATCGGAAATCGTTTAACACAGAATTCTTAAATCTAAGCAGGATCTCTTAAACAGTGTAGTTCCTCTGTTACAGTCTTGTGTATTTTAACTACTATTCTGATTATCGTAAAAACTTAACTGTTTTAATGTCATAACAATATACCATGACCTGAATTCGTATTTCGCGCACAACGGGAAAAAAAATAATTCTTAAATAATTAAATAATATCTTAGCACCAATTTGTGTTCACGCTCCTCAACTGGATTTTCGTGAAATTGTAGATGTATTAATACAATATTATGCATTAGAGTGATTTTATGTCCATTTTTTTTTCAGTCACAACATCTTTAAAGTATTTGATGAAGGATTTTCATAGATTTGTATAGTTCATTGTCCACTATCTCTACTGACCGAGTCAAAAGCCTTAATCAAGTCGATAAATGTGGAATATAATTAATAGCTAATGGTCAGAGAATGATTTCATTCTCAGATCTAAAGTATATAGTCAATGGACAGATAATTGATTAATTTTCATAACTAAGGTAAATAGTTAATGGACAGTTCTTTTTATTTATTGGTAAAAGTTTACATTAATTTCCCTTAGGTATGAGATGGAAATAAATAGTCGACATATATGTCCATTTGTGGCTTGTTAATTCCGTTACATTCCAACAGAGATTTGTGTACATCTTTGACAAGTCTCGCCGTCTCCACCAAGAGAGATTTACACTCAGTTGACCCACTTGACATTATTAATCCTTATCCTTGCCCATGGGCCTGATACGGCTAAGCTTGAACATGCCTCCACAGAGAACTTTGCTAAATGTGACAACTACTACCGTTACTTCGCGGAGTGCAGATATTCCCTGGTCTATAACACGTCGGAGTGCAATGGAACGGTCAGCAATATTGTCAGTTGTCCGTCAGAGCTTGAGATTCACTATAAGGCAATTTTAAAAAACCTGTTTTCATATGGAGAAATTTTACTAAGCTATTATGATTTATTATTATTATTATTATTACTATAATGGCTTTTTGAGTTTAATTACGTCTAATCTAAGGATTGCACATTTTCTCAATTAGAGGGCGTCCATTAATTACGTCAATAATTTTTAACCAATTATTGACCCCCTCATCCCCCCCTTTGTCAACAAATGTCAAATTTTCAAAGATCCCCTAATTAATTATGACAACATTTTTATAACCCCCCCCCCCCACACACACACACACAAATTATAATATAATAAATAAATTTTACTTTTTGCTGATCTATTTTAATAACAGAATTGTAGGAAAAACACTTTTTTCAAAAATCCCCTAATTAATTATGACAACATTTTTATAACCCCCCCCCCCCCACACACACACACACAAATTATAATATAATAAATAAATTTTACTTTTTGCTGATCTATTTTAATAACAGAATTGTAGGAAAAACACTTTATTGAATTTTTAGCTTGTTAATCAACAAGTTAAAACGTTTTCCTTCAAAATTTTATAATGCAGAATCAATGAAAAGGTTGTTAAAGACTAAATATAATTGTTTGTGGAAGTATAAATATGATTATTGTCCGTATAGCTGGCAACTGTAGCATAGTTTCTAGTGGCTGTCATCTTCCCGGGGAGTAGCAAGGTGTTGCTCTATCGTAACAATAGGCATAGAAGCTGATTTATCATTTTCATCTTGCGGCACTGATACACCAGAAAAGTCAACATCAACCTCATCTAACCATTCAGCACTTAAAATATGAGCATTGTCAATGTGAGCAACAATTGCCATAAGCTCTCTCAGTCTCCTGGCAGCTACTTGCATTAGTCGAATCCTTTTTTTGTTTAGGAGCAGGTGGTAATTTCTTATGCATTTCTGTGCTGTTGAACATTCTATTTCAACATGAATTGTGATGCAAAACAGATGATACAAATTGTGCAAATTCATTCAACCAGCGAGGTTATTATTGTTACTTTACTTTCGCCTAATTCTCTAAATATCGTATTCCTACTCCATCAATATCATTTATCATTTTGACTGCACGTGACACTAGTACCTGGTCATCTGCGACAAACAGAATCTACAGGCGAAGAGAGGCCAACTTTTAACTTCTCTTGCACTAACAAAGTGTGCCAGCATTCTGGCCAGTCATCAGCAGTATAATACGTACACAGGCAGACACACGTCAAAAACGATCTGATATTGTTAAAAGCCAAAAATTTATATACCTATTTTTAATTTACACTTATTAAATTGTTCAAAATAATGCTATAACCAGTCAATTTTTAAGATTAAAGTTTTAATAGAGAGAAACATGATTCTTGACGTCAACTAATCTACACTCCCCCCCCCCTTTTTCATTAACTGTCAAACATTTCAGCCCCCCCCCCGCTATTTTGTTGACATAATAAACGGACGACCCCCTTATATCTGCTCTTTGTGATACAAATCAATGGTGAGTACGCAATACATTAAGCCAAACATTTTTAGTTCATCATTCCTAGATAAGGACGAAGCTCTTGAAATATTTACCGCAGGATCAACTGAACATGGAAGGCTGGTATCTGGTGAACCACCTGGACAGTTACCTGGGTCTAATGAAACAGCTGATCGGCAAGCCTGACTCCTGGTACATCCTCGGGATTGGATACCACAACAATCTGGACGCTGGCCTTGTCATAAAGAAGGTGGGTTATGTCCATACAATGTTTGAAATATATTATGGGTCAGCCATCTGCTCACCACTGTAATTGTCTTGCATTTATGGATAAGCCATCTGCTCACCACTGTAATTGTCTTGCATTTATTTGGTCCATAANGTAATTAAAAATTTTTAGTAATGTTTTAATGTAGTTTTATTTTACTGTTGCGTATTTGTATGGTGAACGAACGGACAGGACATCAGCTTAGTTACTTTCTCTTGATTTTCTCTTTACTTTAATACATTTTTTGTCTATTTTTGTCTAAACAATTTTTATCCAATCAATCGGGGGGGGGGGTAAGTGCCTCCCTTGCCTCCCCTCCTGCGGGCGCCCATGTCCATAAAATTCCTGCCATAAAATTGAAGAAAAGTTAATAAAATAAATAGATTTATTTGTAATTTGATCCACTTATGAAATAACGTTATACCGTTCTTTTTATTTGAAAATATTGACGTGATTCAAACACTATTTTTAGGTCCAAAATGCAGAGTTAGTCTTAAATTGGTGGAAATAAAAATAATTTTTTTTTTTTACTCCATATAAAGATGACGTCTATTTCACAGGTCCTCGAACCATTATTCAAGGTTCTCTCCAATTCAGAATGGCCTAAGATGGTGTGGATGTCCATGCACTCCCCTGGGCTGCTCAAATCGCCCCATCAAACCAAGGAGCAGACGGCCAATGCGCTGAAATTCAACGCCCAACTGAAAGCTGTCATGGATGCAAGGGGAATTCCCATACTAAATTATTTTCAGTTAACTAAAGGAACGATGAGCTACGACGGTTCTCATTACGGGAAAGGTGTAAATGATGCAAAACTTCAAATCATACTCAACTATTTTAATTATTTACACGAGCGAAACGATTGATAACAGTAATTTCTAGTTGGGTTTTTTTTTTAGGTTTATAGTGTTCATAGTGTTTGGTTTGTTGTTAGGATTTCACTTTTATTAAAATAATTTGCCTCAAAATTGACGATTGTTTCCCCTTATTATCATGTTTTCATTTTGAGTTTTACAATTAAAACTATTTCATTTAATTTGCATAAAACCCATTGAGCTAGAATTTCACTCAAACCTATTTCAACAATATGTGCTAACGTAAGTGTCGCAATACCGGTACATTTTTTAATGAAACCGTTATTTGCGGTTTTACGAATACCGAAATTTAAGCCTTTTCGATATTTTAAATATCTAGAGAAAATTGTATGGTGCGAGCTTTCGTTAAGATTACAAGTGACGCCATGACGTTTTAATCAACAGGGTTTGTCGGTTAGTGGCGGTAATCTATAAAAAAGAACATCTAGTTCTTGGCTTACCGTGTGGCAAATGTCATTAACATTTTAATGTAAAACATCTTGGTATTCTGTTTGGCCAATCTCTCAACGGCCGTAAGGTACTCCCACGTTAATGTGAGCCAGAATAGTGGGCCTTAACACAGACCAAAATGTGTTTACAGCATTATTGTTACGAAGAATTTACTTAAAAATTGTTTCTGCTGTATTTAAGCGGAAATACATTGTTAGAAAGAAGCTATGTTTTTATGAAGACATTGTCTAAAAAAAGAGTAACATTACGTAATGCGATGTGTCTTTTTTCCTGTCTTAGAAATGACATATTTCCTATTAAACAGAGACATTCATTTAAAATC